CTAAGTCGCAACTGTGCAAGACCTCTTACGCCATTCTGACCTAACCCCTGTCTAGTTGAAGGACAGTGATCAGGTGCCGAAGCAATTGATCCAGAGACAATGAACTATTTACTGAATAATGAGATTTTAAGTTTTATTACTAGCTCAAGCAAACAGATTTAAAAACATAGGATAAAAAGAGTTGATGATACTGAAATATATTATAAGCTGTCAGGAACTCCTTCATAACAACAGCAGAGATGTCCCAGGAATGGCCAATTTCCACAGTAACCAGCACTAGGGTCTGTGGAGAAGCTCCCCACAAACAACAATTACCACAACATTTTTATCAAAAGCTGGTACTTCATGGTCCTGCTATGGTGAGGAGACTGCAAGGCTGGAATGGGAATCAAAAGACTGAGACTTTCACAACGGGAAAAGCTTTGAAGCTACATGGAGATTCCCCCCCCAGCTTAAGGACCATGGAGATTAACAACTGAGGCAAAAATGCTGTAAAATCAGTCACGACTTACTTAACAAGCTCATCGTGCCAATTGTGGTCACAAGCTGAGGACTACCTGCAGGACAAAATTGTCTTGCCTCTTACAATCATTGCAAAGTTTTGGGTGAAAGTTGTCCATCCTTTATGAACCTCATAAGCATATTCACAAAGGAGATAAATGAGTGTTGTCTCGTTTGGAAACTGGTGAGGGACCAACCTAGATTTTAGCAAATTTGCCCCTCTAAAGAACCACTGCAGAGGTGTGTTTCTGCCAAATAAAAAAACCCTCCATTCTGTATTTTTGTTCTTTGCCATTTACAGCATTTCAATACTTTGATAAAATCTTGAGTCTGGAATAACTTGCCACAAAATGCAGAGACAAATAACCGGAGAGTCAGAACTTTGAAAGGGTAGCAGAAATTGCTGGAAAAAAAGGGCTGATGTACCGTTGTATTCGTCTTATAGCCATTATGGTAGTTCTTATATTTATTCCTCCAGACACAGATGAAAAATAGGGATTTCAACCCAGGATGATGATGATGATGTTCTGGTTGTTAATTATATGTGTTTTAGCTGATCAACTGAAAGCACATAGGCTCTCTCCACTACCCAAGTGACACATTCAAACATTTGTGTTCACTCAGCAGGGTAAAACCACAGTTAATGTGAGCAAGCTAATTGATTCTGTCTCCTTTGAAAGAAACTTTTCTACTGAGATGCTATTCCCCATTCCACAGGCTCCACACATCCTAATTCTTGCATGTGAAAGAACCAGCGAGTTGGGTCAAATTAATCTACAACTACATAATTCTCTGGGTGTCACTATCTCATGAGAGAGAAGGAGACAGAGAGAGGGAGAGGGAGAGAGAGACACACAGAGAGAGACTCCAACAGCAAACAAATATCTGTCCAGAGATGAGTCATTTTTCTATTTTAGAACAGCTATCTTATTATTTATTTCTATCATTTCCAAAACAAAATTCTGAGAATGGTCCTGGTGAGGCAGGTCTGGCCTCTGAGTCGGAGTTAACCTCTCTGCCAGGAAAAAAATCCAAAAGTTGCTTGTGCAACGTCCCTCAAGTTGTGTAGCTAAGTCCAGTCTTCATTCCTTACTGAATAGGAACTTATTGTGTCTCTTTGTACAGCTGAAACCAAGATGTATGATGATACCTGGGGGTTTAATCATCCAATCATAGAATCGTAGGCCTGGAAGGGACTGTGGAGGTCTTCTAGTCCAACTCCCTTGCCCAAGGCAGGAGTCCTTATACCTCCTGAACAAGCGGTTGTCTAGTCTATTTTTGAAAACCTTCAGCAATGGAGCCCTCACAATTCCAGGAGGCAAAGTTCCATTGAGTAATCGTTCTTATTCATCGTTCTCTTACAGGGGAGAAGTGTCCGCTACTGGAGAAAGAAGGTCTCCGGCTGGACCAGAGCAGCAATGAATTCGTAAATATAACTGGTAAGTGGGAAGCCCATGTTCTCCTCCTTCTCTTTCCTCCAGATTGGTGGGATTGAGCCCCACCCATTGAGGTCCAGCTAATGTGCAGCCCTCTTGCGCTGAAATCTACTCCCAACTTTACCAAGCATCCAAATGGTGGTTTTTTGGCATTGTCCACCCCAGATGCAGATGGGGTAGGGTGGGTTGTGGCAGCTGTAGAGTCACTGGCCAGACTGGAGGCTAAGGCATATAAGGAACGGTTGCTGGAATTGGGTATGTCTAGTTTAATGAAGAGAAGGATAGCAGTGTTCCAATATCTCAGGGGCTGCCACAAAGAAGAGGGAGTCAAGCTATTCTCCAAAGCGCCTGAAGGCAGGACAAGAAGCAACGGATGGAAACTAACCAAAGAGAGAAGCAACCTAGAACTAAGGAGAAACTTTCTGATGGTTAGAACAATTAACCAGTGGAACAACCTGCCTCCAGAAGCGGTGAATGCTCCAACACTGGAAGTCTTTAAGAAGAGACTGGACAGCCATTTGTCCGAAATGATATAGGGTTTCCTGCCTGAGCAGGGGGTTGGACTGGATGACCTCCAAGATCCCTTCCAACTTTTTTATTATTATTATTATTATTATTATTATTATTATTATTATTATTATTATTATTATTATTATTATTATTATTATTATTATTATTATTATTATTATTATTATATCAACCAAAGCCTGCCTACAACCTGAGTTAAAGTTGTTAAGGTTGAGAAATGCTGCCTTAACATAACACCCCATATGGAGATGTTGCTATAGAAAACATCCCTGTNCTAAGTCGCAACTGTGCAAGACCTCTTACGCCATTCTGACCTAACCCCTGTCTAGTTGAAGGACAGTGATCAGGTGCCGAAGCAATTGATCCAGAGACAATGAACTATTTACTGAATAATGAGATTTTAAGTTTTATTACTAGCTCAAGCAAACAGATTTAAAAACATAGGATAAAAAGAGTTGATGATACTGAAATATCTTATAAGCTGTCAGGAACTCCTTCATAACAACAGCAGAGATGTCCCAGGAATGGCCAATTTCCACAGTAACCAGCACTAGGGTCTGTGGAGAAGCTCCCCACAAACAACAATTACCACAACATTTTTATCAAAAGCTGGTACTTCATGGTCCTGCTATGGTGAGGAGACTGCAAGGCTGGAATGGGAATCAAAAGACTGAGACTTTCACAACGGGAAAAGCTTTAAAGCTACATGGAGATTCCCCCCCAGCTTAAGGACCATGGAGATTAACAACTGAGGCAAAAATGCTGTAAAATCAGTCACGACTTACTTAACAAGCTCATCGTGCCAATTGTGGTCACAAGCTGAGGACTACCTGCAGGACAAAATTGTCTTGCCTCTTACAATCATTGCAAAGTTTTGGGTGAAAGTTGTCCATCCTTTATGAACCTCATAAGCATATTCACAAAGGAGATAAATGAGTGTTGTCTCGTTTGGAAACTGGTGAGGGACCAACCTAGATTTTAGCAAATTTGCCCCTCTAAAGAACCACTGCAGAGGTGTGTTTCTGCCAAATAAAAAAACCCTCCATTCTGTATTTTTGTTCTTTGCCATTTGCAGCATTTCAATACTTTGATAAAATCTTGAGTCTGGAATAACTTGCCACAAAATGCAGAGACAAATAACCGGAGAGTCAGAACTTTGAAAGGGTAGCAGAAATTGCTGGAAAAAAAAGGGCTGATGTACCGTTGTATTCGTCTTATAGCCATTATGGTAGTTCTTATATTTATTCCTCCAGACACAGATGAAAAATAGGGATTTCAACCCAGGATGATGATGATGATGTTCTGGTTGTTAATTATATGTGTTTTAGCTGATCAACTGAAAGCACATAGGCTCTCTCCACTACCCAAGTGACACATTCAAACATTTGTGTTCACTCAGCAGGGTAAAACCACAGTTAATGTGAGCAAGCTAATTGATTCTGTCTCCTTTGAAAGAAACTTTTCTACTGAGATGTTATTCCCCATTCCACAGGCTCCACACATCCTAATTCTTGCATGTGAAAGAACCAGCAAGTTGGGTCAAATTAATCTACAACCACATAATTCTCTGGGTGTCACTATCTCATGAGAGAGAAGGAGAGGGAGAGAGAGACACACACAGAGAGACTCCAATAGCAAACAAATATCTGTCCAGAGATGAGTCATTTTTCTATTTTAGAACAGCTATCTTATTATTTATTTCTATCATTTCCAAAACAAAATTCTGAGAATGGTCCTGGCGAGGCAGGTCTGGCCTCTGAGTCGGAGTTAACCTCTCTGCCAGGAAAAAAATCCAAAAGTTGCTTGTGCAACGTCCCTCAAGTTGTGTAGCTAATTCCAGTCTTCATTCCTTACTGAATAGGAACTTATTGTGTCTCTTTGTACAGCTGAAACCAAGATGTATGATGATACCTGGGGGTTTAATTCACATGTTAATGAATGTCCGTGCTCCATGGTGATAGTTAGAACATCTCTTATCATCCAATCATAGAATCGTAGGCCTGGAAGGGACCGTGGAGGTCTTCTAGTCCAACTCCCTTGCCCAAGGCAGGAGTCCTTATACCTTCTGAACAAGCGGTTGTCTAGTCTATTTTTGAAAACCTTCAGCAATGGAGCCCTCACAATTCCAGGAGGCAAAGTTCCATTGAGTAATCGTTCTTATTCATCGTTCTCTTACAGGGGAGAAGTGTCCGCTACTGGAGAAAGAAGGTCTCCGGCTGGACCAGAGCAGCAATGAATTCGTAAATATAACTGGTAAGTGGGAAGCCCATGTTCTCCTCCTTCTCTTTCCTCCAGATTGGTGGGATTGAGCCCCACCCATTGAGGTCCAGCTGGGTGCAGCCCTCTTGCGCTGAAATCTACTCCCAACTTTACCAAGCATCCAAATGGTGGTTTTTTGGCATTGTCCACCCCAGATGCAGATGGGGTAGGGTGGGTTGTGGCAGCTGTAGAGTCACTGGCCAGACTGGAGGCTAAGGCATATAAGGAACGGTTGCTGGAATTGGGTATGTCTAGTTTAACGAAGAGAAGGACAAGGGGGGACATGATAGCAGTGTTCCAATATCTCAGGGGCTGCCCCCCAAAAGAGGCAGTCAAGCTATTCTCCAAGGTGCCTGAAGGCAGGACAAGAAGCAACGGATGGAAACTAACCAAAGAGAGAAGCAACCTAGAACTAAGGAGAAACTTCCTGACGGTTAGAACAATTAACCAGTGGAACAACCTGCCTCCAGAAGCGGTGAATGCTCCAACACTGGAAGTCTTTAAGAAGAGACTGGACAGCCATTTGTCCGAAATGGTATAGGGTTTCCTGCCTGAGCAGGGGGTTGGACTGGATGACCTCCAAGATCCCTTCCAACTTTTTATTATTATTATTATTATTATTATTATTATTATTATTATTATTATTATTATTATTATTATTATTATTATTATTATTATTATTATTATTATTATTATTATTATTATTATTATTATTATTATATCAACCAAAGCCTGCCTACAACCTGAGTTAAAGTTGTTAAGGTTGAGAAATGCTGACTTAACATAACACCCCATATGGAGATGTTGCTATAGAAAACATCCCTGTGTCTATCAGGGATGTTTTCTATAGCAACATCTCCATATGGGGTGTTATGTTAAGGCAGCATTTCTCAACCTTAACAACTTTAACTCGGGTGAACTTCAACACCCAGAATTCCCCAGCTCTTGAAGAGATGTAGAATTCATCTTCCAAAATTCTCCAGCCAGCAGAGGCTGAGCTGAGGTCTAACTATTTTAAAGTTGGCTGGGAAATTCTGGGAGTTGAAGCCCGCCTGTGTGAAAGTTACTAAGGTTGAGAAACACTGCCTCAATGTAACACCCTTTATGGAGATGTTGCTGCAAAAGGCATCCCTGCTGGACACAGGGGCACATTAGCAAGCCCAAAGGTAGTGCCACAGAAGTTATGGGCAAGTTTGTTTTCAGGCAGAGTCTCTTTGCCTCTGTTGCTAAGGTTAAAAAACACTCTTTTAAGGGATGCTCGTGATATGGTCCAGAAGATACTCCCAGCATCCTTTGCAATGGCACAGACAAAAGAGATGATGTGCTGAAATGGGGACAATGATTGAACATTTTGGGTTTATTCCCCAAAGTTTTTTTTCTGAAATGAGATCAGGCAGAATTTTTTTAATGTACCAAAGGACGGAGCTAAATACCTTCCAGCCCTGCTATAACGATATTATACACCTGTGTCTTTACAATACCCAATTCTTTTTATCCAGTCCTTGTGCCCTTGCCTAGAAGGGGATTTATGTCTTAGGATCCCTATCCTGGGTACCATTGATGGGAAGATGTAACCGTATCCCCTTTTCAGAAGCATTCATTCAGATGTTTGGACACTGAAGGAGAGACAGCTGATTATGGACTCCTTTCTATCGTTCCCTGAGGACTGAGCTAATCTCATCACATATTATTTGGACAGCTTCCAACAGGCAATTGTACACTTCCTATGGGATGATCAGTACTGTAAAATGTCCTGAAAAGTCACCAAACATTGTGTAATAGCAGCAATTGCTCGATGAGATGGATCAAAATGTAATTTAAGTTTTGGTCATGAATGGGGGTGTGTATGTGTGCCCGTGAGATGCTTTATATTTTAACGGTGACTTTGGGACTATGACCATAAACAGACACTTAAACGATGGGTGGAAATGGACTCGGAAGCTTCAACATTTTGAAGTCCTTATTTTCCTGAAGGAAAAAGGCTACACCTTTTCTTAGTTTATACCAATTAAAGGAGTAGCCAATCTCAATAAGGACTAGAGATGCACCACGCTAAAAGATGGACTTCCAGGCATTCTGTCTCAAATATATATATATATTTACCTATCAAAGACGCACGTAGATCCTTTCTAATGCCCCACAGCTTTTTATTCCCCTAAAGCGATGAGTCTTTATTATTCTGCACTGTGAATAAGGAAGATAGTATGAACCAATACAGAAAGTTCAAAAGACAGATGGTGAAATCAGACTTCCCAACCTGGTGTCCCCCCCCTCCCATCCCCCCAAGATGCATTGCATTACAGCACCCCAAATTCCCAATAGATTCTCAGTTTACCTTCTTCTCTCTTTTCCAGGATTTAATCTAATCAAAAGGTTTGGTCTTCTGAAGACCTCGTCGGTTAAGAAAATACGCAATCCCAAAGGTCCGATGATCCTCCGATTAGGCAACACTTCCCTGGTTCATCCGACGAAGTGAGTGTTCTCTTGCCTCCAAAAGCTTCTGCATAGCCGTTTCTTGTGGATAACGTGTTTTCTGTGTAAATTAAGGCCATGCATCAATTTGAGTTCTAATTTTTTGTCCCAACTGTGCGCTGGAGGAATTTGTTTTGAGGCGATAAATAATATAGCTGTAAAAACCTATCTTCTGAGCCAGCAATTGAGAAACTGACCAGATCTTTGCTGGTATAGAAGCCTTCTTTCTCCCCATTTATCAGTGGGGAGGTGAAGGTCTACAACAGGGGTAGTCAACTTTGGCTCTTTTATGACTCGTGGACTTCAATTCCCAGAATTCCTGAGCCAGCTTAGCTGGCTCAGGAATTCTAGGAGTTGAAGTCCACGAGTCATAAAAGAGCCAAGGTTGACTACCCCTGGTCTACAAGGAAGGTGGGCAAAAGCAGCCTTTGCCAACTATGATGCCCAGGTTCTTCAGACATGATTGTTAAGACAGATATAGGTAATCCTCGGCTTACAACCATTCATTTAGCGAGCATTCCTAATTCTATTGATTATAATTATTCATTATGTTATTAATAGGCTTTGTTTTTCTTCTGTTGAGTATTTTTTAACTTGACTTTCATATGTTTGGGATATATGCTACTTAAAGTCATTCACAATTAGACTATTGGGCTTAGAAGACTAGTAAAATAGCAATAAATGACAGAATAAAAGAATTGGAAGGGACTTTGAAGGTCTTCTAGCCCAACCTCCTACTCAAGCAGGATACCTTATATAATTTCATTCGAGTGGCTGTCCAATTGCTTTTAAAAACCTCCGGTGAAGGAGCATCCACAACTTCTGGAGGCAAATCTTTCCATTGATATATTGTTCTAAAAAGTTCTCCTTAGTTCTAGGTTGCTTCTCTCTTTGATTACTTTCCATCCATTGTTTCTTGTCCTTCCTTCAGGTGCTTTGGAGACTAGCTTGACTCCTTCTTCTTTGTGGCAGTCCCTTAATAAATAATATGCTCATATGCAGTTCTGTCTCCCATGTGAGCAGTGGTTGGCAGCCATAATGCACCATTCTTATCAGCTTGTGGACTGTGGTGATGAGGAGTAAAAAATGCACTATGTATTGTGTGACTCTAGCAATTGTGGTTGGCTTCAAATGATAAAGTTGGGTAGAATTTGTTAGTTCTTAAGTGGATGACCAACACAAATCCCAGGGAAGTTGAAAAATTTCATAGGAGGTATAGTATTTATGTATTGTTGCCTGGAAAACAGTATGGGTGTATCTATTGGTCACTCGTTGGTGTTGAACCAAGCTAGGAGTCATGACTTTCTTTTATATTAATCACCCACACCAAGCTGCCGCTCCCAAATAATTTATATTCTAAACCAGTCATCACCAACTTGAGGTCTTCCAACTGAGTTGGGTCTCAAATCAATGTATGTTGCCAAGGAAGGCTATGTAAACCTATCCAATTCATCAGAAGTCAAACTCAGCTCATAAGAAATTTTACCTTTATCTTGTCAATTCATGGTTTCTGGCTTAGAGTATTCAGTTTATCCAGCCAATTGTGGTTCATTCAATAAGCCATAGTTAAAGAATGGTTTTGTACACTATAAAATTATGCCAATCATTGAGTCCAAGCAGAGTTTGGAAAGCAATATTTGGAATTAGGTCTCAATGTCATCCCTGATTGATAGTTGTGTAGTTTGACCCATCATTTTAACTTTAAAATAAGTCATGCTAAGACTCCATGCAATGGGCAGGTTCACACAGCATGGTGGACCACAATCTACCCAACCCCACTTTAACCTTGATCAGCATATTGTATATATACAAGCTGATAGCTCAGAGGAGAACAGGATTTCCACATGAGCCTCTGGAAAATCATGGTGGGGAGGAGAGATAGCCATCCTCAATCAATTAACCCTTTGATCCCTGATATCCCAATACAGAAGAGTCTCTACAAAGAGTACCCAAAACTGAGCAAACCAGCCAAGGAACTCCTCCATAACTGCAATCAAATAATACAACTGTGCTGTCTGCTTGTCTGAGTTATTTTCTGAGCTCATGAAATATATTGTAGCCCTAAAGTAATGAAATAGTTTGAAGGCACACAATGTGTTAAGCCAGAAAAAAATACCCAAGTTAAAATTAATTATCTTTAACCTATTTGAGTGCAATGGTTTGTAATTGGTCTGGTTTGTTTTGCTGTGTGTGTCCCCCAGCAAAGAGTGCTCGGGCTCTCCAAACGAGGGGCCTTGTGGGTGATTTAGCTTCAGCTGAATGGCTGAAAGGATCTCTCAATCCTGGAAAGTCAATCACTGCCCAAAAGCAACAGAGGCTTTGAGCTTTTTCCAGGCCCTTCGGCAATTCCTTCTGCTTGGCGGGCGTTTTTCTTACTCCAGCAAAACTTGGCATCCAGTCAGACAGGACTAGACTAATGGGCTGAAAATGCTGAAGCTGTTTACTAGCTGGATTGGGCTGCCCTTTCCTGGGGGCTTGGACAAGGCAGAAAAGCCAGACTCAAGGGGTGGGGGTGGGGAGGAATTCAGATGTCCCCTCTTCTCCTGCTTATGTACAGAAGGCAGCCTAGTTTCAAGCACAGCAGCCAAAATCTCACAAGGTTACCCAATCTTGCGAGCCTTTGTTTCAGGTCTCTTATGAACTTGCTTGGGAGTTTAAGCGAGAATTGTAAACGCTCCAGAGGCTTCCATAAGTTTCTCATGCTTACATCTCCCAAAGGCGCTTTTCCAAAAGGCAACTGGATTTTCTTTGCTTTTTTCCTTAAAAAAATGTTTCACTTCTCATCCAAGAAGCTTCTTCAGCTCACGAAGATGCTTACGTCTCCTTTTGTTCATATTGTTCAAATGATTTAAATTGGGGGTGTATATGGATGCTACCTAGTGATGTTGGGGAGACTGTTTTGGAGGAGGAGGCATCTCAGAGGGTATAAGCAGGGATGGGAGATCTGCGACCCTCCAGACAGTAATAGAGGACATCTTCCTTCCATTAACCATGCTTGTTCGGATCACTGGGATACAGAATCCAGCAATGCAGCATCTGGAGGGTCCCAGGATCCCCATTACTGTAACCTCTCTCTCCAGCCCCCTTCAGGACATTCCTGCTTTGTCCCCCATCATTACACCCAAGGACTGTTTCCCTCTCAGTTCAGAACTCATGCAAGACAGAAATGAAACTGCTTGCAATGAGATGCTGGCGGTGACACCGGCATCCAAGACAACTATTTTGAGATCTTGAATCAATGTTTGCTTGGTGCTCAGCTGCAGACTGGGGACTCTCTGATCAGGGCAAGAATCCAGGATAAAACATCCCAGACAGAGAACTGTCCAGCCTTTGTTTAAATAAGTCCATGGAGATTTGCTTATTGTCTCCCTTGGCAACAGGGTTAACTGCTCCACCATTCCTACTATTAGGAAGTTTTTTCCTAATATTCAATAGGAAGTGACCATCCTGTAATTTAGAATTATAGAATCATAAGACTGGAAGAGACTTTGGAAGTATTCTAGTCCACCCTCCAGCCCAAGGCAGGAGTCCTTATACCATCCTGGACAAATGGATGTCCAATCTTTTCTTGAACACCATGAGGGATGGAGCACCCACAATTCTAGGAGGCAAGCTGTTCCATTGCTTAATTGTTCTCACTGTCAGGAAATTCCTCATTTCCAGGTTGGATCTCCCTCTGATGAGCTTCCACCCATTGCTTCTTGTCCTGCCCTCAGGTGCTTTAGAGAATAGCTTGACTCAATCTTCCCTGTGACAGTATTGGAAGAATAGCTCCATTATTCTCCATGTCTGCTGTTTGGGATAACAGAACTTGACCTTGATCAAGCCAAAAACTTGACTTTATTCTGAGTGAGCCCCTTTCCCCATGAGTTGTTTGAAATATGCCCCCTATCATTTTTTTTTCATTGCTAAATATACACTTTTCCCTCAAGCTCTTCTCACAAGACTTTACTTCTCAGTCTTTTAATCACTTCATTGACTTTTGCTGTATCTCTTCCAGCTTTGATGAATCTTTCTTCAAATGTGTCCAGAACTGGACACAGTACTTGAGGTGGAATTTGACCAACACAAAATAAAATGGAATTATTACTTCCCCAAACTTGAAACTGAACTTCTGTTGATGTAGCCTGAAGCTGATTGGCCCCATCAAGCTGCTAGTTCATATTCAGTTTATAATCATTAATACATTTCCAAAAATATTACTACTGAGCCAGATATTCCATTACTGTGCTTTTTTTCCCCTCTCCTGTGTGAAAGAACATTTGTCTTGGACAAATTCTATTACATTAAGCCTATTTCTCTAACTTCTCAAGATCATCTTGAATTTCATCTGACTACTGCTCTACTCAATTTTTGGTCATTGAGGGTTGAATAAGCATTCCCTTCATCTCTTAAAAGTTGAAGTGCATGAAATTCAGGGCTGAACTTTCTGGCACTTTAATCCATGCTTCATTTCAATTTGATGAGGAAGCATTAATGAGGGACCATTTTGAACATAGTCTTTAAGTTGCCCATGTATCCACTGTCAAGCCATCCAGCCCATGCTTAACAAGCTTGCTAATCAGAATTTCACAGAGAACAATGTCAAATGCTTTGCTGAAATAAAGACATATTATTTCACAATGTGCTATGGGAATTATCTATTTCAAAAGAGGGAGAAGGTTAGTCTGGTGAGGCTTGTTCTGGAGACAGCTATGCTGACTGCTAATCATGGAGGCATTACTTAGACGTGAGCATTGCCAACAAAAGTGCGTATAGTCAAGGCCATGGTTTTTCCAGTTGCAATGTATGGATGTGACAGTTGGACCGTAAAAAAGGCTGAGCGACAAAGAATTGAGGCCTTTGAACTATGGTGCTGGAGAAGACTCCTGCGAGTCCCTTGGACTGCAAGGCGATCAAACTGGTCAGTCCTAGAAGAGATCAACCCCGACTGCTCTTTAGAAGGCCAGATCCTGAAGTTGAAACTCAAGTCCTTTGGCCACCTAAGGAGAAGGAAGGAC